GTACCAACGGCATCCCAGAATGGAACCGCGCAAATTGTACCTTAGGCAAATGTGGTCTGCTTGCGTCTAGCGCTGGCCAGATACAGAAGGACGCCAAGTGATGATTCCCCGCCCTTTGCGCGCAGACCTGGCGCCACTATGAGACGCCGAGTGCTTAGAACACTGTTGCAGCTGACGCAAGCCGTTGTCGTTTCTTTAGTCCTGTACTGCAGCCCATAATTAACACACAGCTAATCTTCTGAGGAGGTTATATGTCGTACATGTACGTGAAGAAACGTTACATGTGCTATAATACCTTAACGGGTAGTATTTCCTAATATGGCGTTAACGTCATGATATTCAGTGTCACTGACAGCATTTGAACGCCATTTGGTGACAGCATAGGCGGACCTGGCAAACCAACAAGGATTTTAGGACGTTATGAATAACATTGCGCTTGGAAATGCGCTTGCATGCGCGGTTAATGCGCAAGGCAACTGAGGCTTCCTCTTGGTGTAACCGTACTCATGGGTTTGAACGTTTTTCTTCTACCCGCACTAAAGTACGCGGAGCGGTCGGTTGCTCATTGTATGCACCTGCCATACAGTAAGTAAGCAGCAAACATAACCACGTCTGATAGCGGTTCCCTTCTTTATGTATGTGCATTTCCTCGGCGATTTTTCCTGCACGTATGTAAGGGTTGAATGAATGGTTGCATTATACGTTCCGCACTTCAGGTGGATTGTGATGTGCAGTCCCCGGCACAGCTTTGGGACGTTAGCGAAAGCATTAACAACTACAGCAATTCGCATCGTAACGTCATCTCCCATCTTATGGATGCAAATGTCTCCAGCCAGGTGCTGTAATTCCTAAACGACAGTTTAGTTAACTAGGTTACCATGGAACAGCAACCATAGGAAGAACCCCTACACCGGTATAACCTTCCTTGTTTAACCACGGTAAGTAGGGAGTGTCACTTGCAAGCCGTCTGCGGTGTCATTAATAAATACCCCTGGTAAGCGGACGCTCGGTGTATGTTTGCCCTACCCAAACCACTCGACCTATTCTTAAAACCTTTTATAGCTCTACTATTCCCCAGAAAGGCAGCGCAGGATCAGCTGGACACGTTATTGCAAATCTTGCAGACGGAATATTAATAACGTCCTCAGAAACATGTCGGCAGTTAACAACGAAAAAGAATAGGGTTTTATGGACAACGTTCCAAAACCCCTACTTGCGGTCCACTTCCTGTTAGTAAGGGAAGGCAAACAGAAGGAATAGTGGACGCCTAGGTCTACGTGTTTACATACCGTGGGGGTTGGACCTCATGGACCAAGGGCCTGGAATGCTGGGAACCTGCTCCTTTACGAAGGACGGAATAATTAGGCTGCTTGGTGCGCAGTAGGCATAAGGTTGACCAGTCCAACAGTACGTTATGCGCATGCTGAATGCGCTTAACGCATCCAGGGAGCTTTCCAAGGTTTGGTAGCTTTAGGAAATCAACAAGCCGTAGCGATGGTACTGTAAGCTCACCAGAGATATTATTTACGTAGTTGGGGAACGGTGAGGGTCCAACGACTAAGTCCTGTCTGGCACCGCCAGGGGTCGGTCGTTTAGGGAGGACTTACAACGCACAGGCACACATCACTGTGTTCTCCACAGGAATGCAGCAAAAGAGTAAAGGGAGTCGCGACATACGCCGTAGGAGCTCACGTGCCTTGAGAATCCCAAGTGGGGTTCCTTAGCAACCGATTTTTGGCTGTAGGGGGAAGGCAAACGCACTACGTGGCTATTGTATACCTCATGGGCGCAAAGTTCAGCAGGACCCCAGGAATTTATTAGGCAGGAGCACTCCTTCAGAATAACTATCATGCACTACCGTGTCCGTTGCTTATAATGAGGTGACCTTCAGCTTGGCATGGCAGCATAATTACCAGCAAATCAACCACGACGCCAATGAGGCCGACAGCGGTATAATTTGCTGACCGGCTACTGTTGCCATTTTTGTAATAAGTGTAGACGGGAGCTTAATTCCGTCCAGTAGGTTATTTAACGATGAACATCCGCTTTTGGGACACCACAGTCAATGGTACACTTAGTTCCAAGGCCGACTGATGCGGCACCTTCCGGTGAAGATAATTACCCCACGTACTTCATGAGGGTTGTTTGCTTGCAACAGACCAAGGCACATTAATTTGCCGACCTTGTGCTTTGCGTATTTATGGGAAAAATTTAAAAAGATGTACAAAGATGTTGTCCGCGTGATTTCTTTACCTTTTACCTCATCGGAGGGAAGATCACTGACGTCTGCCCTGATTGAGACGTCGGTGCTACTTGTTTCCCACAGGGACATTGTAATGCGACTCCGTGGAAAGCTTTACAATGTGACCGCATTATACTGGCATCACTCGACCACGTAAAGCTAATTGAACAAAGCGCTTAGAGGTTCAGCCGACATGGACACCTGATTAACAGCCTATCAACATTAAGGTGAGGCCCGACGCAGCTCCATATCGTCCTTTTGTTGGGCACTTTAGATCCCTCAAAAAAGCTGTTGTAAGGTAACCTTTCAATGCTCGCCTTGTGGTTCCTCTGGTAGTCAGTATCCGTGACAGTAAGGTGATTGTACAACTGCCTGGGGGACGCACACGTTTTTCTTATTTCATACCCTCTTCGACGGGCAATCGTGCTGCAAGCAAACTTGAGGCTGCGGTAGCTATAGTTCTCAGTTAGAATGATGAGGCATCCCTGTTTCATTAGCTTCCCTTCCGCGGTACGTCACTTTTAGTAAGTTACCTCACATATAGTAAGTGAACCGAAACAGTTTACAACGGAGACCGCTTTGTTCCTCGTTCGGTCTTAATCTCGTAGGCGCGTCATAGCGGTTCATCACTGTTGTTTGAGGTCCAGTGCCGAAAGCAGCAGGGTGGCTGGGAAAACAAAATAAACTTATCCTCGCAGCTGGCATTCATGGACACCGCGTTCATATATAAATATATATATATATATGTTTGTGTAGTGCATTGCATAGACTCGGTTGCACTAGGTCTAAGGTATGTGTATACTTTTCTTGCTTTTCATTGTGCGCCATTGTACCGTAGTTAACGTCACAGCTTCCTTGTTTGGTTGCACCAGGGAGATTTTATGTGTCACTCAAGACTCACCACGTGTCTGTGGGTTACATAACTAGATTATCGCCACAATTGAGTATCCAGCTATATCGGCAAACTGTTGGGTAGTTGGATGCTATGCAACCTACCTTTTGTAACTTGGCTAAAACATTGTGTGCGCCTTTTCCGAAGCCGATTATAAGGCAGAACGCAGCGGAGTTTACTATACCATTTCCGAGCCAAGTTAGTTGATAGAGGAAGCAAGTTGGTTCGTAAGCATTTTCAACTTGGTTCATAAGCAGCTTCAAGTTGGTGCGTCTCAAAGTTTGGCTAAGATGCACACACGCACCGACGAGTAGCTTCCTCATTGGTCAGACACCGTCGGCCAACAGGATGCAATGTTTCACTATTGAGCAGGTGTTCTCAAATTTTTCGGCACATGCACTCCTATGTAATGTAACCTAGCACGACGGACCCCTGAGCTTTCCTTATCCACAGAACTAGGCTTTAATAACATAAGAATGAAGTGGAGTTCATAGCTGCACACTGAATTTGCAGTTGTTCATTTATGTTGGCAAAAGTGAAGGCTGTTGAATTTACATGCAAATGCAACTTTATTAAGGCCTAGTAACTTGGATAAAATTCGTTCCAACATGCAGCGCTGACTTGTTTGATACTAGGTGTTATTGAGGAAAGCTATAACCTTGGATCTGGTTACGCTTCAGGTCTGTTTCGGTACTTTGTTTTGTATAGATATAATGTGAGAATGCAATCTCACACAGATAAG